TGGGGAGTTTTAAGTATGTAACATACCTGAAATGGCTGGAAATGGCATGTACACCCCCATGCAGACCCCCCTAGAAGCGAACGCCTCCGGCGCTCGTTCGTCTGTGGTTCGTCTTGCCCCCCCCACACACATTAATTCTTAGCTACGGCCCTGGATTCAGAGGATTCAGGTAATTTCTAAAAAAAAATTCTTCTGATTTATGGGATTTTTTTCGGAAGTTATATCGGCCGGGGGCCTCTGATTCGGTAAAAGGGAAGGCCCGTGGGTGAATTGTTTATCTATCACGGTCAAAAATAATTTATCCGCGGTTAAATGATGTGTATTGATGCCTCTATATGTCTATATATGGTACAAAGGCTATAATTTAACCGCGGCTAAATTATTTTTTCGTGGTAAAATTATATCTAAGTTAGCAAGTACTAGCCATACCCGTCCATCCCCGTTAGGTGGTCAAAACTAAAAATAAATAAATAAATAAATAAAAATGTTAAAACATATAAGATCCGATAGGAGGCGTCGTGTTTTCGTGTTGTTGTGACGTTGCCATGCAAAAATGTCCCACTATTTTAATGTTTTTGAACGTGGAATGTGAAAAACATAAATAACCCATGTAACGTGTCATGATCTGTAGAATGTTCGTACCAAGTTTGGAGAGGATCCGTTGAGCGGTGCGGAAACGTATAGCCGGACACACACACACACACACACAGAAAATCCCCAATTTATAGTAAGATGATAGCTGATGATAGCCAACCATAGGCGGCGCTGCACGAATGGATCATGTGATCAGCAACTTTAGACGGGTACTCGTTCCCACCTCGATTACTCGATGGGTAACTAGCGAGTAACTAATCCGAGAGGTGCAACCGTGTACCAGTCTACCAATCTAACAGTCTACTGCAACTTCCGAACTTGCAACTTGTAAACTTAAACGTCGACTTTTATGCCGAAATTAAAATGTTGTAATAACGCTTGTACGGTAAAATGTATAGCAGTACTAAGCTAGTGGTATTGGCTGTGGTTGGTGTTGTACTCACCGTCCTCGGCGGAGGAATGATAAAAGTGTTCAGCACCATGATTCACGATAAAATCAGCGAGGTAACAATACACACACACACACACACACACACATACACGCACACACCCACACACACACACACACCGTTTTGAACCTAACATTTCGATAATTCTGCGAATATTTGTGATTTCAGAGCCGGACATAGAGAGCCGATAAAACCAGCAGGTGCGCACAGCCGGTCCTCTCCGCCTCAGTGACGTCATCGCACCGCCGTCATCGTCAAGCTCATTCTAGCGGCGGCTAAAGTTGATTGACCCTTCTCTCGCTCACACAGGGAGGCAATCACGCCAGCGAACGTCCTGCGAAAAAAGACAAACGGCTTAGTGTTTACCCGATTAGAGCAGAACGAGGTTCACCGGCGTGTGAAATTGATTTCATTTTTTTCCTTGCCGCTCGTTTTCTGTGATCGATTAAATTATTAAGACATAGAGATGACGTTCGCGAGCGAGAAACACGTCGAGGCGCGACGACGACGACAAAGATGACGATGATGACGACGACGACAACGATGATGATGCACGCGGCGGCAGGCGAAAAACGAACGTCTACTATCGTCAACGTCGATATTGTCATCACACGTCGACGCCATCCGCGTGACGGCGCGGAGTAGAGTACCGGACATCCGCACTTGTCGGCATCTCTGTCGCATTTCGCGTCGGCGGGGACACGCGGCAGTTGTCGTGCTGTGAGTCATGCCGGAGTCTCGGTCACGCCCCGACGCGCGACAACCCACGCCGATGGGATGAGTCCTTACCAGCGGCCGAGATAATGGATGATGTGCTGTCAACCGATATTGGTGACATCGGCGCAGCGACGACAGCTAACGACGCGACGACGACGACGACGAGCATCAAGTGCGTTCCACTTCCGTGTGAAGATCAGCTGATGGATAGTGTCTACTACTTCAAGCAGGGCTACTCGTTCGGTGAGCACGGCGAGTTACCGATCACTGAGGATAACTTCTACGACAACTACGATCCTGTGATCGGACTTAACATCGCCGCCACGCTCGGCACTTGCATCTTTCTCTTCGTCATCTTTCTCATTTACAAGCATCACATGAAGATGAAGCGCATACAGCGGGAACGCGAGCGCCGCCGTGCGGCAAGAGCGCGCGCTAAGTCACGCACGCGGAGCATGGATGTTTCCTCTGATTGCCGCTCGGAGGCGCTGCGTGTCGTCGGCGGTAGTCGGTCGCGGTCGTCGCTGTCGATGCGTGGTTCTGTGGTGCAGTACCAGACGCTCGTGCAGGATCCGACCAACGCTCAATGTTATACAGCCGACACAAGCAGCAGCAGCAGACGCAGCAGCGCCGACGACAGTGACGACACGCCGACGCAGAGACGCTCGGGTGACGTCGCTCGCGTCGACGTAGAACGCACGCCGACGCATCAGACACAAATTTACGGCAACAAACACAACGACGACGACAACGACGACAACGACGCCGAGGCGGGTCCCTCGACCGACAGAAACGTCGTTGGCGAGTGGCTGAGGACGAGCGACGTCGGCAAGCCGGTGCTGACGACGTCGAGAGCGTTCTCGATGCCCGGACCGCTGCTGACCGACGAAACGCGACGCCGCTTCGACGACGACGACAACGATGACGATAGCTGTGTAGGGAAGCCTAGGACACGTGCGCTCAATTTGTGGCCAAATACAGGCGGCGGCTCCTCCCGAACGCAGGGGGCGCTGTCGTCACCTTCAATAATGCTGGACATTGAGATGTGCGCCGACGGTACAGCCGACGGCTTCCACGAGCGGACTATGCTGCGGTCCGCCAGCAGCAGTGGCGCGCGCGTCGGCAGGGGCGGCGGCGATAGCGGTGGCGCCCGCAGGAGCAGCGGCGTCGGCAGCAGCGGTGGCGCCCCTTGCGTCGGCAGACGGCAGCTGACGACGGCGCAATATTTTAACGAACTGTGTAAAGAGATTCCCGACTTTCAGATACACGAAACGAAACTATAGTGAGGTCGTCGTTCAGAGAATCTATTTTTGGAGAGGCCGTGTATTCTATTGGCGGTTATTACTCACAGCGCGTAGTCTGTTATCCGTTACGCTGTGCCAGAGGCACCGACAACGAAGCCTCTGCCTTTCTCTTTCTCTCTATCACACACCGAATAAATTCACCTGCTTTGATCACGTTGGCTGACGATCATATGAGGGTATTGTCACAGGAATCGTTATTGTTTGCTTCTATCACATTTCTTGCTGAGGAATGAGAGACTGAATAGGGTGAACGAAATTTGCATTTCTCTCATGAATCGAACGTAATCTTGTTAGAAAATAAAATGTGTCTATAGTGTATGCCACTGCCTTATGTGTGAAGCAATAGATTTGAGCGCATGTGTTAACTCGACATTTTTCTAGGCAGTCATAATATACGTCAAGATTGCATAATATGTTAAAGAAAGCAAGGAATATAATATGTATTTCACTTTTATTAGCCCTAGAAAATATTTTTAGTTACTTGGGAGCCCTTAATATATCGTAATTGTCATCACAAAATTTATTCATCAACAATATCTACTGCTAGGCTTCCGCTGTTTTAGAATTAAGAGATTCTCAAAAATTTTGAAATCTACGTTTAACTTAAATTAACCTCCAATTTCCACCTTATAATTATGCGACGAGTGAAATACCCGCTCGCTGACTAGAACGTTCCTAGCAAAGCGCGTGGTTATGGGAGCTGGTTGTCATATAGGTCATGCCATGGTTGGCAAGATGTGTATTGCAAAGATGAATGTCTCGGAGATCAATGAACAGCTTCTCGACCGAACATCAACACCGAAACGTCGACGGAAACGTCACAGTTATGAAACAATAGCAAAAAATTATCCGCAGCAAATCGCGAGTTGTTACTTTACGGCTGGTGAAAGGTCTTCCCGAGAGAGAGAGAGAGAGAGAGAGAGAGAGAGAGAGAGAGAGAGAAAACGCGAGAGAGAGAGCGAGAGAGAGAGAGAGAGAGAGA